TATATATAAACTTTCTAACACAGAACAAATGCCCTGGGTGCCCTAACAGGGAGGCTCTTCTCCTTGTAGGGTGAAACTGAGCTATCCCTCTGGAGGGCACGGGACTGGTATAAAAGAACAGTAAACAGTCCACTATCCCACCACAGGAAATCATTGGTAAACAGTGGCATCTACAGCGCAATCAGCAATCACAAACATCCTAAATAAATGTTTTAGTAATTATTTTTTGTCTTTTTTTTTCTTTTGTTTTAATGATAATAATTTTAGCTGCTCATTGGAATAAATTCTGCAGCACACGAGCTGTGAGCTTTCGAGTCACCATCAGAAGAACCGTAAGGCTTTTCTACCCTCCCCACCCCGCAAATGACCTTTCAGGGGGAAAAAACAAAACAAAACAAAACAAAAAACCTATGGCAGAGGAGGGAGCATTAAGAACAGATGAATGGGCAATCGGCATTATTCTGATTGGCTATAAATATAGAAACACCTCCTGCGGGTTGGTTTATTTTATTATTATTTTTAAATATATATACAGTAGAGAACCTTTGGTTAATTGTGTCATGTAGAATAAGGTTTTTTTTAATCTTTCCTTTTAAAAAGCTGTGAAAGGAGTGGGAAAGGCCAGGGCAGGAGGCGAGTCTGACACAAGGCACTGGCTTGACATGTTGGGTGGGGAGAAGGGAAATCGATTGGTCATAGAAGGACAAGGAAGAACGGAGCTGCTGGTGTCTGTGCAGTTTTACTATGGCAAGTGGCCGATTCCTCTATGTGTGTGTGCCCATGCCCATACATACATGCATGCACACACAGGTCAGGCTCTGGCTTAGGTGTCCAACTGCAGCTATCCTGATTTTTGGGGGAAACGGGGTGGGAGTGGGAAGAGGAAGAAGTTAATCATCTGACCTTATCCAAATGACTGCACCATAACCTGCATCAGCCAAAAACACAAGCAGGAGAAAGAGGGGAGGAAGGAATGCCGTAAAAATAGTCATCTCGTTGCAAATTCAGGTCACTGAGTTTTAAGAAAGAAAGAAAGAAAAAGAAAGAAAGCTGGGCCCTGCCCAGAGTTCAACAAGTTAATTCCTAATTCATTGATTCTGGCAGCGAGCCAGCTGCTTCGGTCAAACAGGGACTGCTAGTCAGTCCTAGTAGAACCTAGCAGGCTGCCGGCCCAGTTATTGTCTGTGACTGTGGGAACTGAGGGAAGTAAAAGGCTGTTAATATTCTTGACCGAGGAGACCCAAATACGGTCGAACTCACATGGTCTAGCGTCCCAAGGACTTCTTAACCTTGACTGGGTCAAGAATTCCAGCAACTGCCCAGGGGGGAAATGGCTGCTCACCCCTTGCCATGCATGGCTGTGAGCACCAGTGGCAAGAGGCCTGGCTTGGACATATAAAGGATTTTTTTTACCCTGCTTTTGAGGTAAGTATTGCTGAGAGCCGGTGTACTCAGAAAAACACCAACAGCGATGCTGCACCTGCCCCACTGTTTTCAGAGAAGCTACTGCCCTTCAGTAGCTTCCACCCATGCCCGAAGTGCCCCACAAAGAAAAGAGTCAAGGGGGTGGCCCACTTGCTCCTTGCAGACCCATGGGGGACATTCTCTGCCTGCTCTGCACTCCTTCATGCCTGCTCGACTTTCACGTGGCATTGCCCCAGAGGGGATATCCTGGCATATACGTATTCTTGGGAAACCAAGCAAGTGTGCAACCTTTCCCAAGTCATCAATTCAGTTGATTTGCTAGCACAGTTAGCTCCAGAGCCTGGGGTGTTTTTGGACTACAACTCTGAGAATGACCTGGGAAGCATGGGATCTGGCTACAACTCCCAGATTGCTCTAAGTCAGCGGTGGTGTTAGCTGTGGCGTCGGGAGAGTTTTCGTCCCAAAACAAAGGAAGTTGTCCAAGCTCTAGTGAGCCTGAAGGAGCAAGAGGGAGCTGCCCATTTCTCTGAAAAGGTCTGGAAGTAGGTCATGCCGCTGGCTGGAGCGGGGATTTAGGACGAGGCTGTCCTTTCAAGCTCTCCCACTGTCACTGCTCTTGCCTGCCACCCACTTCAAAGGGGGAGGGAAGAGGGGCCTAAAACCCAAGGAGAGGCTACCTGTTGAAACAGCCACATCAATGAGAGGTGGGGACTCTGGAGGGCAGGAAGGGGAAGCTCCCCTGGGGGCAGCAAAGGCCGACTTTCTGACTGGGCCACACTTGCCCCTTGGTGAGGCAGGGACAAGGGAGCTCCCCACGCAGGGAAGAGCAGCAGAGGGGAAAAGCTAGGTGGGGCCAGGGAAGAAAGAAGGACGTCAGCAGGCACGACTTCTCTCACCTCTGCAGCACCATGAAGGAGAAGCTGCACCTGCCAAACCCCTCCTTCCAAGACAGCTATTAACCCCGTGGAAGTCCTAGCTGAGGCTGAACTTGGGTGACCTGACCTCCGATGAAGCCTGCCTGCCTCCCTCTGGACCAGCCCAGGTCTCAAATCAATCCTTAATTTAGAGAGGGGAGGGGAGAGAGAAATGCCCCCGAAAAGCGTTAACGGTCCTTATGAGGCGTTGCGGACATGTGCAGTACAGTGCATGGCAGTAATCAGCTGAGCACAAAGAACTCCCTCGTCCCCACCCCCCCCATCACCCCACAGCTGGCTAGAGAGATAGCCAATACCAAGTTCCAAGCTGGTCATAACATGCATGCATAATTTGTGAACATTTACATTAGGTTTTGTCGTCCTCTCAAGAGTCTTTCCACCAGGCTTCAGAACACAAACCAATTACACGGTGAGGGCTTCTCTCCTGTTCCACGGTATAATCATGCAAAACAACTTTTAAATTTTTTTTTAACAATAACAGGTTTTTGTAACAGGGTGGCAGGTTGGTTGCTTTCCCACTTCAAATCAGCAGGTTATTTTAGGTAGGATAGTGTGTAGGTTTGCAGACACAGAAAGGCACACAACTCAAGTGTATGCTTGTCACGGCAAAAAACACCCAAGGTACCTGAATCCCAGAGCACAAGCATCAGGCCATGCAGAAAAACTCACTGGGATCATGGCAGCCGCAGCAGGCCAAACATGATTGGGGGGGGGGGGAAAGAAAGAGAGAGAGAGAAAAGCAGAGGGGTAGGTAGGCAAGCCAGAAAAGGAATGGCAGCGCCTGCCTGGTTCTAAGGAGCTTGATGCTGTGCTGCATACAGCATCCGGGGGGGGGGGGAGTTGGGGGGAAGAGTGAGCACCAGATGGGCTTTCTCCATGATCGCTAGTGCAAGGATAGACAACAAGATTAATAAATAATTCCCCATCTGCTCTCTCTCTCTGCTGAACATCCTGCTGCTGCGACCCTCACAGCTGCCTAACAGCTTTCAGAGGCTTAGCCTGGGGTCAGTTCTGAAGAGTGGGTGGGATTTAGAGTGGGAGGGTGGAAGGCTTCTGTTTCAATCTGTTAACCTCCCCTCCCCCTCCCCTTGTAGGACAGAAAATCCCCTAGGAATACTTTAGGATCAGTGACAAACCTGATTTTGGGGAAGTTTCACAGAGACGGGAGATGAGAAAGAAAAGAGGCCCCAAAAAGAGCACCTGGGTTCCTGGAGATGTGTGCATGTGAGGGGAAGAGGCAGTGGTACCAGCTGTCACATGATTTTTCAGTCTCAAAATAAAGGCCCCACAAAACCAGGCTCCATCCTATGATGTCTACAGAAAAGAGAGCCAGCTGCAATGTCAGAAAAATTTTCAACACTTCTCCTTGCTTTCCCCTGTGAGTGAGCCAAGATGAAAACTTATTTTCAAATGTAACACCCCTTTGGCTTCCCTTCCATTTTCTGAGGGCAAATGTGTCTTTTCTATCCATAACTGCCTCATATTGAGGGCACTTTAGGGGAATATTGCTTTTTCAGGTCCATTTTAATTCCATATTCCACTGCTAGTTGTAAGAAGAACCCTGAACACCATTCAGACACCTGAGGCATGCAGTAGCCAGCAGGGTGAATGAGAAGGGGGGGATTACACTGGGAGAGGGAGGGCATCTGTAGGAGAAAAACAAAACAAAACAAAACAAAAAACAGAAGGTAGCACTGAGCCATAATTTGGAATGGGGGAGAGAGAGAAAAACTTGTCTGGCAAGGCCTCAGGCTTCTCCCGCTAGCGTTGCAGCTAAACAATCCTGCTGCCGTGCAATACTGTGTGCTCTGGGTGAGCTGCTGGTGGGACTGAAGGAGGCACTTCCTCACCTGCCCCCCCCTCCATTTTGAGCTGCTTGGCTTTCAAGGGCCCCCATCTGGCCAGAGCAGAAGGGGAATAATTTCAGAGTAAAGTCTGGGTCAGATAGCCACACAACCAAAACAACCAAACAAACAAAAACAGGAAAGGAAACCCATAAACGAAAAATAAAAAGAGGAATGCAAACACCTGGAGAGTAATGGCGCAAGGATAGAGTGTCTTTGGAGTGCGGAGCAACACAGGGAGGCCTCCCCCTGCAAAGCATGATACCGCAGAGCTGGCTTGACCACCAGGCCCAGTCCATGCCATGGGGTGAGGGGGAGGGGGTGTCATACATTGCTTATGTTCTCACCACATCCCAGGAGCAGCCCTAGAGGCTAAGCACACAGGCTGGCCCAAGCCCCTGGTCCAAGGTCCGTATCCTGGAGTGAATTTGTGCAGCAGTGTGTCAACGAGCCTCACTCAGCCTCCCGGTGAACTTCTGAGGCATCTGCCCGGCAGATGGGGCACGTGCGGTTCGCCTGAAATCATTAAGGTGAGAATGAATCTTAGGATTCTGGCTGTCCGGCCAAGCTTGTTTGTCCAATGCAACTGACCCAACGCAGGGAAGCATGGCATCTTTGTTTAGGGCTTGTCCATGTCAGCAGAACCACCATTATGTTAAGAGATGGCTATGCTTATTTTTAGGGGGGGAAATGTAAGGAAAATCTGGCCACTTCATGTAAAAAAAGATGTGATCACACTCATCCATTATCATTCAATCTCATTGATCGAATTGGTACTGATATCAGAGTACAAAATGTATGTGCTGTACTTCAGTTTGAAAAGCATGCATATGCACAGAATTGTCAAAGGCACCCAATTCTTTCCTGATCACCTTTTATTTTACACATATGTATGTGCGTGCACACGTATGTGTGTATATACTTCTATAGATAGTATGTATACTGTCTTCTAAAGCAAAAAACAATGAATTCTACACCTATATCCTTCAGTAACAATATGGTGCAAGAATGTATTGCTGCAGACAAATAAGGTATTGCAATTTTAGAAGAGGCAGCCATGTTAGTCTATGCTAGTATGTCAATCAAAAACATAACAAAAATTTTAAAAAGGAGAAAAATGTTACAGCACCCTGTAAACTAACTGCAATGTTTTAATGTGAGCTTTCATGGACAATTCCACTTCTTCAGATACGAGAGTGGGACTGCATAGCAAATATTTATACATGGCTTTCAAACAACAAGACTGGCTGTTTCCTGGGCACAAATAGTTGATGATGTGTTATTTCACACCTGACAGAACCACTGAAACTCCTGCTGATATTCAATTCCCCTTCCAGGGAGCATTGTTCAGTAAACAATAGTAACATCAGTCTTAATAGTTGTTGCCAGGTGTGAAATGGCACATCATCAACTATTTGTGCCCAGGAAACAGTCTCCTTGTTTTGAGGCCATGTATAACTATATAAATATTTGCCATGCAGTCCCAAGTCTCATGTCTGAAGAAGTGGACTTGTCCACAAAAGCTCACATTAAAATACAGAAATCCTTAAGGTGCCACAATGTTTTTGAGTTCTTCATTTTTTAAAATTTATTTTTTGTTCTTGCCTGTTGATGTACTGAAAAAACATGGAACCAGAGTTCATTTACAATCAGAAGGAACTAATTTGAGTCTATGTGAAATGGAGAATTGATGGGGGCATATTTTTTTTACTTATTCTTTATTTATTTAAAATATTTTTACCCCACCTTTCTTCTCAAAAGGATCCTAAGCAAGAGGGATAGATATTCAGGGCATCAACCAGCAGTGAATAAATTCAGAAGAATGCTATTGAAATAAGGGAGTAGGGCATGAAAAGCCTCATTCAAAAAGCTTCTGAAGCCTTCCTTTAGATCAGGAGGCAGTTTAAAAAAACCAAAGCAGATTGCAGGAATCGAAGGCAAGATTTGCAGCACAGTGAAGTAAGCAGCCTGGTCCTCTGAGGATTTGTATCAGGACCAGCATTATTTAACTCATTCACACATAGTTATTTCTGCTGCCAAGTACACCATGTTTTGCAAGGCAAGGACATACGCAGCTGGGTCTTCTAAGGACTTGTATCGATACCAATGTTCATCAGTGATCTGGAGGCACAGGTGAGTGACAAGCTGGCTGTGTTTGCAGGCTGCACCAAATTAGTTAAGAGAGTGAAAATCCAAGTAATTCAACAAAATGGGAAATGACATTCACTGCAACTAAGTAAAGGCAGAAGATAAACAGCTAAATAAACATACATCCACCCCAAAAAGTATTGACCCAGGATGCCACAATAATGAAAAAGGCAAAGTTGTTGTGGGAAACTATATGAGAAAACGGCTTTAAAAAGCATGAGTAAAACAATGTTCTTCCCATCAGAGATGGCACTCCAAACCAGGAAAGATCCTAAATATCTGAGACTTTTTTTAATTGTATAAAGAGAACTAAAGTACCAGGTCACACTCGACAGCAGCTTCTTATAAGTTAATCTTCCTTTCCCTGTTTTACTCCTGACTGTAATCCTCTCTTTTTTCTTTTTGTTTACAGCAATTTATCAATCTTTTGTAGAGGCTGTACTGTTCACAATAAAAGGTTAAATGGAAAAAAGACATGACATTAGCTTTATGAGTTATAGGAGGTATGGGGAAAAACATTTATCTCATAATATCAGTACTGATGGCCATAAAGTGAAGCTGATAAAAGGATTTAAGACAGATATGTAGAAGGAAGTATTTTTTTCACACAAAGTGTAATTGACACAAACTTCACAACTACAATATGTGACAATGATTACTGCCTCGGATGAAAAATTCATGGACAGAACTTGTTTACAAGTTACAGCTTTGGACTACAACTCCCAGAATCCCCCAACCAGCATGGCAACTGAGATTATAATTGTTTGTGCATACACAAAACCCCCAAACAACCCCTTTTTCCAAATTCTTTCCGTGGAGAGTATTGGATGTAACAATTAAATAAAAGCTAGGTTCAGAAGGCAGACCCTTGAATACTAGTTTTGGGGGACAGGGAAGGGCTCCTTTATATCCTGCATGTGGACTTCCATGGAAAAACCTAGTGACATCTCTTGGAAACAGGAAGACTAAATTGAATTCTTGTCAGACCTAGCAAAGCTCTTCCTGAAATCTCTTATATTTACACACAAGGTTTGCACCATTAAAACTAAGATTCTAGGTTATCTTCAGATGCACTGCTGTGATTAACATACAACCATATTTGTATATAAAAGGGCCAGCGTCACTGCTGGAGAGATATGGACACAGTTGATCTATAGGGTGGGATGGAGATTAAAAGCCATTATGAGTTCAGCTATATGTGCTCTGCCACATCTTGATGCAGGTACAACCACCAGCCCTTAGAGGTGCTGCCAGAACTCTGAGCAACCTGTGTATCCCATGGCAAATTTCAGAAATGGATTGCAAGTGATTGAAGTTAAATTCATATAAAAACATTTCCAGAAGTCTAGTCTCTTCCTCAGTGTGTCTTATTCCCCTTATTTGATATGCTCAAGGCACAGCTCTTAATAATAGTATACAGCAAGGATTCCCTGGCTACAAAGCCCTTGAACAGCTGCTGATCTTACCTTTAACCATTTGTCGATGCACTTAGCATGGAATTCGTGGTTGCAGGGCAGAACTCGCAGCAACTGCCTTACTTCAAAGTCACTGAAGCATACAACACACCTGGGGGATGGGAAAGAATCCAGTCAGCTCAGTTGTAGGACATTAAAGGAAGGAACTACACACATGGACCTAAAGCAATAAAGCATTTTCAAAAATTGTATGACTCCATTTCCCCGTTGTTAGAAGAGTCTTCTGCAAGCAAATAATGGAGAGAAATCACAGGCCCATAAAGCGCCAAAATCTCTCCTACAAGAGAGTTTCCACTGACCTCGCCTTCTCCTTTAAACCTTTCCTCCTTGGAAAGAAAGGAGAGCTCCCCAACTCTGGTCAGAAATAACAGTGAGGATTTGCCTATGTGTGCATCAGCTCTTCTCTGTTACCACCAGTCTCTCATCAGAGACAGGAGGTACTTGGCCTCCCACTTATCTAACACTTCAGAGAGCTGGCTGAGCTCATGTATAGGAACAGATTTAAAACACATTTAAGCAAAACAAAATTCCAAGCATCCATTGCCACCCCAGCACCAAGCACAGGTATCCACCAAAACATTTATTTCGTGATTCAAAGAAAACAATATTATGTGTCTTCCAAACTTGCAACATTACCCTGAATGAGGAAAAAATCAATTCAATCTGTGTAACACAAGAAACAGAAAGAACGAGGTGCTCTCAGGCTTGAACCGTATAAAAAGATGAGGCCTAACCAGTGCTGAATAGAGGGGGAACTAGTATCTCACGGGATTTGGAGACTATACATCTGTTAATGCAGTCTAAAACAGCATTTGCCTTTTTTGTAGCCACATCACATTGTTGGCTCATATTCAGCTTGTGATCTATGATGACTCCAAGATCTTTCTCACTCATAGCATTGCTGAACCAAGTATCCCCGATCTTGTAACTTTGTGTTTGGTTTCTTTTTCCTAGGTACAGTACTTTGTACTTATCCCTCCTGAGTTTCATTCTATTGTTTTCTGCCCAGTACTCAAGTCTACCTACTGTAGATAATTTTGAAGTTTCTTTATAGATCAGAGGTCTCCAAACTTTTGACTCTGACGGCCACATCAGATACTTTTGACATCTCAGAGGGCCAAAGGAACAGGAACATGTGCGCGCACACACCCTGTACCTGCATCCCTGCACACCCACATGGATGCCTCCGCATCCACTCCCCCACAGGGACACACAAACGCATGCATGCACCCCCACTTGCATGAATGGGCTGAAGAGAATGGGCTGGATGTGACCACGGGCTGTAGTTTGGAGACCTCTGGTCTAGATCATTTTGAATTTTGTTTCCAGGGTGCCAGTTATTCCACCCAGTTTTGCGCCATCTGCAAATTTGGTTAGCATTCCCTATATCCCCTGATCCAGGTCATTAATAAAAATACTGAATAGCACTAGTCCCAGAAATGAACTCTGGGATACCCTACTTCTCACCTCCTCCCAGTTTAATCATCACCTTCTGACTATGATTCTGTAGCCAATTGTTTATCTACCTGACAGATGTTCTATCCAGCCCACACCTAATTAACTTGCTCATCAGAATATCACGAGGGACTTTGTCAAATGCTTTGCTGAAGCCAAGATATATGATGTTCGCTGCATTCCTTCTATCTATCAGGGAGGCTACCCGAGCAATAAATGAGATGAGATTAGTCTAGCAGGATTTGTTCTTGACAAATCTGTGTTGGCTTCTAGTTATTACTCATTATTTTCTATGTGTTTGCATAGTGACCACTTTATAATCTGTTCCAGAATTTTCCCTGGGATTGATGTCGGGCTGATGGGTCTGTAGTTCCCAAGTTCCTCCTTTTTGCCCTATTTGAAGACAGGGACAACAGTAGCCCTTCTCCAGTCGTCTGGCACCTCACCCATTTCCTATGATTTCAAGAAAATAATGGACAGTGGTTGTGAGAGTTCTTCAGTCAGTTCCTTCAATCATGCAGTTCATCTGCCCCTGGAGACTTGAACTTGTTCAAGGTAATAAGGTATTCCTTGACTATTTGTTTATCAATCTCCAGCTGCAATCTTGTTCCCTCCACCTGCACTTCACATTTGTCTGGAGGGTCATAGTCTGTCCTTTGGGAAAAGATTGAGCTAAAATAGGAATTGAGGACTTCTGCCTTTTCTTCTCTTCGGTTATCCTTTTTCCATCTGCATTGAGTAGCTGAGCCACTGTTTCTTCTCTTAGTCATTTGCTACACAGATACCTGAAGAATGTTTTTGTTGCTTTTAGTATTTCTAGCTAGCCTCAGCTCATTCTCAGCTTTTACCCTCCTAATGCCAACCCTGCAATTCCTTACTACTTGTCTGTACTCTTCCTTTGTGGCCTGGCCTTCCTTCCACTTCCTATGTGTGCCTTTTTTGTTTTGTTTTCAGGTCCTCTCTGTGTAAAGCCACATTGGCCTCTTTTTTTCTCTCTATCCCACCTTTTTTTCTTGTTGGAATTGTTTGTTGTCATGCCTTTAGAATTTCCTTTTTTAGAAGCTACCACCCTTCTTGGACTCCTTTTCTTGTTAGGATCTCCTGCCATGGGACTTTACTGATCCTTGTTCTGAGTTCATTAACTTTTTAAAAAATCTAACATATGTGTAGCTACACTCTGCTTTTGTTTCCTTTGAAATCAAGAATTCTAGAAGGACATGGTCACTCTCGCCCAGCCTTCCCCTTAGTGCCACTTGTTCCACCAAGTCATCTCTATTGGTTAAAATCAATAAAAGGATAGCTAGCCCTCTAGGTTTTTTTTTTTTACACTTTTTGTTGGGAAAAATTATCAGCCACACAAGCCAAGAATTTCTTGGAAGGGCCATACTTTTGCCTCCCAATAGGTATCAGGATAATTGAATCTCCCTTCATTACTACATCATGTCTCTTTGAAATCCTTGCAATTTGTCTTTCAAAAGTTTCATCCGCTTCCTCTCCTTGATTGGGGGGGGGGCAGTAGTAGATTCAAACTACCATGTTCATTTTGTTTTTCACCCCAATGACATTGATCCAGATGCTCTCAATGGGACAGCCAATCTCCTCTTCCTGTATTTCTGTGCAGGAATGTGTATTTCTGGCATATACTGCAACTCCACCTCTCTTTCTGTTTCTTTCTGTTCTTTTTGAAGAAGTTATATCCTTCAATTTTTGTATTCCAGTCATGGGTGTCATCCCATCAAGTTTCAGTTGTTCCTATCCAGTCATATTTGCTCTCCTGAACTAAGATTTCCAGTTCTTGCTTGCTTCCCATGTTGTTGTTGTTTAGTCATTAAGTCGTGTCCAACTCTTCGTGACTCCATGGACCAGAGCATGCCAGGTCCTCCTTCACTGCCTTGGGTCAAATTCAAGTTGGTCACTTCGATGACTGTCCAACCATCTCATCCTCTGTCGTCCCCTTCTCCTCCTGCCTTCACACTTTCCCCAAATCAGGGTCTTTTCCAAGGAGTCTTCTCTTCTCATGAGATGACCAAAGTATTGGGGCCTCAGCTTCAGGATCTGTCCTTCCAGTGAGCACTCAGGGTTGATTTCATTCAAAATGGATAGGTTTGTTCTCTTTGCAGTCCAGGGGACTCTCAAGAGCCTCCTCCAGTACCACAATTCAAAAGCATCAATTCTTCGGCAGTCAGCCTTCTTTATGGTCAGTTCTCACTTCAATACATTGTTACTCAAAAAAACATAGCTTTGACTATGCAGACCTTTGTCGGCAAGGTGAGGTCTCTGCTTTTCAAGATGCTGTCAAGGTTTGTCATTGCTTTCCTCCCAAGAAGCAGGCATCTTTTAATTCTGGGGCTGCTGTCATCATCTGCAGTGATCATGGAGCCCAAGAAAGTAAAATCTGTCACTGCTTCCATATCTTGCCCTTCTAGTTGCCAGGAGGTGATGGGACCAGTGGCCATGATCTTTGTTGTTGTTTTTTTTTAATGTTGAGCTTCAGACCATTTTTTGCACTCTCCTCATTCACCCTCATTAAGAGGTTCTTTAATTCTTCCTCACTTTCTACCATCAGAGCGGTATCATCTGCATATCTGAGGTTATTGATATTTCTTCTGACAATCTTAATTCCATTTTGGGATTCCTCCAGTCCAGCCTTTTGCATGATGTATTCTGCATATAAGTTAAATAAGCAGGGAGACAATATACAGCCTTTTCCCATACTCCTGGCGTTTATATACAGACATTGGAGGTTGTGTGATTTGTGGCCTGCTTTTCTTTGTACATTTTTATGAATATTATTATTAATGTTAATGTTATTATTGACCCCATTAGAACGGTTTGTTCCGTTCCTCTTATTGTGGGTAAAGCCTCATCTATCTTTACCTCTGTGCTTGCCTCTCCCTCCGCCTTCCAATTCAGTTTAAAGCCCTCCTGATGAAGTTTGTCGTTCTGTGGCCAAATGCATTCTTCCCAGTCCGTGTGAGGTGCAAGCCATCTCTTGCTTAGCAGTCTAATTTTCAGGAAGCTTAGCCTGTGATCCCAAATCTCTAACATTGGCACCACCTTTGTAGCCAGTCATTCTCCCAGAGTATTTTCCTTTCCCTTTCTATTCCTCTACTGGTAGGATGGATGAGAAAACTATCTGGACTCCAAAGTCCTTAAGTTTCCTTACCAGAGCTTCAAAGTCTGATGCGATCTCTTCAGAGTTGCTCTTGGCTGTGTCATTTGTTCCTACATGGATAAGAAGGAAAGGATATGTATCTGTGGGTTTTACGAGTGATGGCGATCCTTCTGTCACATCTGTAATCTGTGCTGCAGGGGGACAGCCTACCTGGCGGGTCCATGGAACTTTCTGGCATACTGTACTTCAGTTTTCATCTCACACAGTAGGAAGTCTTCCATTGCAGCTACTCTTCTCTTCCTCCTTTTGCAAAGTGTGAATTCAGTGCCTGTGCTTAGCTGAGTTTCAGTCCCCCTTTATGAACTCATGTGAGGCCACCTCTTTGACTTCGTCTGCTTGCTGTCTGCCACACTCTTCATCAAGAACCTTGGAAGCAGTTTTGCAGTTCCATCGGTGAAGATCATCTTCTCCTTCTTTTGCTCCTAACGGTGACTCTTTCTCACGCTTCTTCCTCCACTATGGTTTGGTCTCTTCTCAGGATTGACCTCCTCTGCCTTCCCTTGTTGCTCTTTCACCTCCAGTGCCTCCACTGACAGCAACAGCTGCTCGAGAGTTCTGTCAACGTACACTTCCTATTCCCTCATAGCCTTAAGTGTGGCTACTCACTGCTCCAGTTCTCTCACTTTTTCTTCTAACAACGATAGCAGTTTACACTTCTTGCATGTGTACACCATTTTACACTCAGGCACAAAGACAAACATTGCACAAACTTTGCAGGTCACCACAAGTGAAGCATTTCTTCCTGTTATCTTTCTGCTTTAATCTGTTTGTGTATGAATGCCCTTTCCTTCATCTTGTTAGCATGAATGTAGCTGGGAAAATCCACTAATGTATAATTCTGCCTTTGTCCCATTGGTCTTCCCCTTTCTTTTGTCCCTCCTCCAGTAGACTTTTCCTTCCCGCCTTCTCTCCTATCTCTCCTGTCAAACTCCTGTTAGCTTTCCCTGGTCACAAGCTCCATGGGTCTGCCTCAGCTTAATTCCTCAGCTGTGCTCTGTTATGAGCCAGAAATCAGGACACCTCCTCCCTATTGAGCTAAGTACATGGCCCTTGCTGTTAAGGACACCCCCCTTCTTGTTAAGTTGAGCACAGGGTGCTTCTGAATGAGGAATTCCTAGGGGTTTTGTCCCTTTCTCCTATAGACCTTTCTTTTCTACCTTTCCTTCCTATCTCTCCCCCTGTCAAACTCCTGTTAGCTAGTCCTGGTCTCTAGTTCCCTGGGTCTGCCTCAGCTTTATTTCTCAGACCACTTATACATTCTACAGTCTACTTCATTTTCACTGTTTATGAAGGCTCAGTTAAAGTTAAGACAATATCTGCAAATAGACTACTTTTTCAACCAAGTTATAATGACTGGCCTTATCTCAGGCATTCAGGGCTAGTTACAGCATCCAACCACCATCCCTCCCATACCCAAATAGCACACAGAAAGTTCACACATCTGTATGCTGGACTAACTAATTCCTTCCCATTACACTACGTTCTCTTCTCACCTGGGATTTCCAAACTGCACAAAGTAAAAAGGCCATTACAAGAATTCCTCAGTCTCTCCTTGTACTTACAAGGTTTGTTCCGACTGATGGCTCTCTGGGTTGAAGCGGTAGGATGGAAGGTGCTCAATATCTGCTTTGGTGAGTCCCCGTGGCTTGGCCTCTCCTAACCTCTCAGCCAGATTCAGCAATGCCTGGTACGTTTGTTTGGGTTTAAAAAAAAAAGACAGGTAAGGAGAAACACAGTACATCAGTTCCCTTCTGGGAACAGCCACTCTCTCCACTATTCTCTATAAGAATCTTTGGCTCGCTAGATTCGATCACAACCCTCATAATCAGTTACCACAGGCTACGCCAGTCAGGGTTTCTGGGACATCAAAAGTAAAACATCAGCAAGGTCAAAGTCCCCCACCACTGACCTATACAGTCCGCAGCATCACCGAAGACAAGCATGAATCTTCTCTGTCTTTTGCCAGTCAAGTGCTCAGTGACATTACTGCATCCTAAAGCAACTAATTGCCCAATAAAGTAGCAACCTCTTTTTTTTGCACCTTCAGCCACCCTGCAGCTACTTTTCTTCAACACAGCAAATCTAAGCAGTTTTTGCAAGAGCTGGTTCAGCCAAACTATTTCACCAATGGCTGCTCTAGAGCAAAGTTGGGCAGACATTGGGCTTGCAGAATGTATTCTGCTTTTCATCAAAACTCACAGGATTTACCAAATAGAACCTAGGGCAAAAGACATACACTGGATCAAACAGTTGTGAGGCCAAGAATTTGCTTTGAGTATCAGAACTGAATAAAGCCTACCATCTTAACATTTAAAATCCACTATTTGTTACCCCAAATAGTCTTTTTTTTCCAGCAACATAATTTAGACAGAGAGAGAGAGAGAGAGAGAAAAAAAAGTTCTGTGCCACTGAGTTGGAACTAATTTATAGTGAAATTAATAGGGCTTTCAAGATAAGTGAGATATTTGAGAGTGGTTTTATCAGTTCTGCATCACTCGTAAATTTCCATGGCCAAGTGGGATTTGAACCCTGTTCTCCAGAGTCCTAGTCTGTCACTCTATATGCTACACCGCACTGGGAGTCTCTAGAGTATGTGAGGAAAAAGTTATTTTGCTGGCACTGCCGCTGCTGTTATTATTATTAATTAACTAGGAATTATAATAACTTGTAAATGTACTGCAAATCACCCAGAGATCTAGGAGCAGCTATGAGCACCTCCTGCTCGCCCCTGCTCAAAATCTTTTCTACCTTCTAATGCTCCACAAGGACAGAGAAGACAACCCACCTCATAATTTTCCATCTCTACATCATCCACATCCAGGTCCAAGCTTATTGTGGGCCCCACAGCTGTCGGTGACACGGGAAGCATTGAGCTGCAGTTTTAAAAAAAAGCAAAAAAGTGATTAGTAGTAGCAGATGCCATACAGATGCCCATACATCTAAACAAGGATCAAAATCTCTGTTTTGAACTAGTACACTGCTGGAAAGAGGAGCAGCCATATGTCCCCAGCAGAACGACTCTGGAAAGCAAACCTTCGATAGTAAATACTTGCTCTCGAGTCCTAAAAATGGAGAATTCCTGTCCCAGAGAGCACTTATGTTCTCTCTGTGAACACATAGTCAATGGATACTCACAGGAAATATGGCAGGAAGCTTGGGTAGTACGGAGGTGGGGGTGGCGGCGGAGGTGGCAGTGGCTGCTGCAATCTGTATCGCTGGGTATTCAGTCGCCTGGGCATCATGTGTGGATATGGCTGTTGAAAACACCAGGAGCCAAGTCAGTCTTGCTAACATGAGAGATTTGCCTAATTCCTAGGCCAACGACGGGAAGAACCTGGCCCATGGATGGGGCTGGATATGGCCTCATTCAGCTTCTCTCCCATGCCCAGCCAGAATACTTCCTATCTCCAAACAGCAGCTGATTAGAATGGACAGCTTCCTTTTGCTCCTTTCCCACCCCCATGCTTTAGTTGGGCTTTTTAAAGCTTCCACTAGTGAAAACAGACATGTTTGGGTTTTTGTGGGGGTTTTTTAAGCCTAAATGTATCATGCTGACAACATGGGAGCTGGGTCACTGCTGGAGAGAGAAGCGGTAGCCAACCCCCTACCCTGGCCATAAACATAATCCTTAATATAATCAGGTTTCTGAAAAGCCTCGCACAGTGCTAATTAAAGCTTTTTTAAAAAATTAATTACAGCATTACAGAAAGAGAACTTTTGGGAGGGCAAAGTTTCTGGGGGAGACTGGCATGGGCAACCACTTTTAGGGCCACCATCTAATCTAAATTAGGAGCCTTGTGGCACAGTGGTTAAGCTGCAGTACTGCAGCTAAAACTCTGCTCATGACCCAGGTTCAATCCCAAGTAGCCAGCTCAAGGTTCACTCAGCCTTCCACCCTTGCAAGATCAGTAAACTGAGTACCCAGCTTGCATGGGTGGGTGGGAGGCAGGTAATGTGTAGCCTGCATAATTAACTTGTAAACCACCCAGAAAGTGCTTTAAGGACTATGAGGTGGTATATATGTAGCACACTCTGAAACAGTTTCTATTGCATGATCATTCCTTTTGTTTCACATAGTGCACAAATACCCCCTTGACCCTTGATCCTCAGAGCCCAATTTCCATATAGACTGAGAACTCTCTTAGATGCCTTCCTCCATCATGGCTCAGAGAAAACCTTGCACAGCCTGCTACTTGTGAACATGGGAATGCTACTTTTCTGGATTATAATTCCTACAATTCCCTGACTCACAGTCAGAGGATTTTGGGAGCTGTAGTCAAAACATAACATTTCCAAGCCCTATGTCTGCTTGAGGTCTTGCAGATTATCCTCCTTCAACAGGACACTCACCACGCCAAAAGGCAGTTCCTGGTGCAGTGGGTCATGGGTGTGCGGAAGGTAATGCAGTGGCACAGAAGGAGACAGTGCAGGAGTATGATGGGAAGGAGAGTAGGAGAAGCCTCCAATGGGGTGCTGTTCACCCCGAAGCTCCACCTCATTGTCTATCCTTTGCAGTGGCTGTGGAGAAAGCAAGTAATAATGCAGGACAAATGAGTACCAGCTCTCAAATACAGCCCGAGGAACAGAAATGCTACTCTGAACAGTCCTGCTTGGCTACAGAAACAAAAGGAAAGCCCCAGAAGGAAACCAAAAGATGGCACTGCTACACTGACTTTCCTACATCATGAGGAGGACAGTTTGGTACAAGGGACCTGCCAGGGACAAGGCAATGAAAAGTCACTGGCTTTCCCAACTTTGTATCAAAACAACAATATACAGCAATATCAGGTCCATGTCTGCAGAGTCAGACTCGGTGTCAAACAGCAATAGTACAGGAAAGCTCGGGAAAGCTCCCTTTCTGAAATACAACTCCTGAAATCCCCAAAACCACCATGGCCAAGACTGGAAGATTCTGGTAGTTATAGTTCAAAAAATAATTTTCCAGAACTCTGTCTATGTTCCTTCATTGGAGATAAAGAAATGTCTGGCAAAGCTCAGAGTTTAGCAAAGCCCCCTTCCATTTGCTGTCCCAAATCCTCCTTGACTTAACATCTCAGGGACGCCTCCACTGAAAAACACAGATCTGCTGCTATCACATGTGGCTTCACCTTTCGTCGTCTTCTTTCTGCTGGATTCTAGTGCAGACATGTGCAAGTCAACAGTCCCTGTTCTTTTTAAAGAAATCTTAACGTCTGGCATGGTAGTACCTGCAGTAGGGATCTTGTGTTGAACACAAGACAAGGTACATGGACCTAGCCATGAACCAAGGCCATACCGGGGGGGAGGGGCTGGATCGAGAGAAGCAGAATAAAGCACACTCTTTCTTAATTACTCATACAAGGCAAAGCAGCAATCAGCACCTTTTTGAGAGGCACTGAAACACTATGGCCAGAATTCTGTTGGGGACGGAGTGGGGGGACACACACTCATGTAAGGACAATAGCTTAAACTGCTCCCACCACCAACACCCTGCTCCCAAGTGGGCTGTTCTTTACACACTCGATCATCTATGCAGTCATACAACCAACTCTGCAGCCAATATGTGACTGGTTGCACAAAGGACAGCCCACTGGAAGGGAGAAAGGTTTGCATGGTGCCTTTTTGCTCTGCTGTTCCTCAACAGGAATCTGGCCTATTTCTTTAGAAGAGAAACTGTATTAAAGCAAACACAGAAACCACCACCACAAATGAGGTAAATACTAACCAGCTTCCAATTACCTAACCATGATCTCAAACGTTCTTTACTAATTGGATGCTAATAGTCAAGTTTTCTGTGGAGAAGAGTTCCTTTCATTCTATTAGCTTTTATTTTCTTCTGTCCCCCTTTTTTCTAATATTTGGCTCTGCCCCCTTCTCTTGTTTCTTCAGCAATTCTCCACAACTGACTTCCTCCTGCACTTGATTCCCCCCTCCCCCTGCCACTACACCCCACCACATACAGGCTGCACAGGATAAAAGGCTACTATGTATCAAGCAGCTTAGTCATCCACTGCTAGTTAGAGGCAACTGATAGTGCTATGCAGCAGGATCCAATACGTAACAAAGGATTTCCAGCACCAACTGAAAATGTATTTAAAACCAAAACTCATTAGCCTCTGCCCTCACCTACTGCCTGATTTCCACCTTGATTTTTAAAGCTAGTAGAGAACTCTCTCTTTGCTACTTCATCTACGTGAAAATAACTAGTACTTTCTACAGCTTCTCATTGATTGCTAAATCTCAAGTAGAAGGATGTCTAGCAAATTTCAATGATCTGTCAAATATTTCTTTTGAGACCCAATGGCTTGTCGTCGTTTAGTCGTGTCTGACTCTTCGTGACCCCATGGACCAGAGCACGCCAGGCCCTCCTATTTTCTACTGCCTCCCGGAGTTGTGTCAAATTCATGTTGGTTGCTTCGCAGACACTGTCCAGCCATCTCATCCTCGGTCGTCCCCTTTTCCTCTTGCCATCACACTTTCCCGACATCAGGGTCTTTTCCAGGGAGTCTTTTCTTCTCATTAGATGGCCAAAGTACTGTAGCCTCAGCTTCAGGATCTGTCCTTCCAGTGAGCACTCAGGGTTGATTTCCTTCAGAATTGATAGGTTTGTTCTCCTTGCAGTCCAGGGGACTCTCAAGAGTCTCCTCCAGCACCACAATTCAAAGGCATCAATTCTTCGGCGGTCTGCTTTCTTTATGGTCCAGCTCTCACTTCCATACATCACGACAGGAAAAACCATAGCTTTGACTATTCGGACTT